TATCAATGCCCGTGTCAAGCCAGTTCCGGTCTCCATCGACCCTAACCGCGAATCTCCAATTTTGCAAGATATTATCTGCGCACCAGGTGCCACCCCATTCAACAAGTGCTCCTAACATACACATAACACGAGATTTAATTGATTGTAAAAAAATTATCAATACAAATAAGTTATATAGATGTGTTAGAACCTCGGGGTGGTGTGCGGTAGCTATCCCAGCAACATGAGTGCCATGTGGAGAACTATCAGTTACAATGCTTAGGACCTTTCCCTCATCATACACATTAGCAACAAAGGAGCAAGCATCTAGTCGGCTAAACACGCCATACTTCCGCTCAATTCTGATATACATATTAAGATTGAAATAGAGTAAAACTTGTGAACTCTCAAGCAAAAAAAATTCTGGATCCCTAAAGGAAGACTTGCCGGTAATTAGTCAGGGGGGTGAAGTCTGCTAGTTTCCCGCAATCTGGATCTTCTTCAAGACTCTGCGTATCCAATGCAACCCTCCATACTTCTCCATCATGCCACACGACAGCATCAATAACAGGCCCTTTGTCTTCATAGTTCTACAGAAAAACAAAAAACAATGCATTTACAGTACAGATTCAAGAAAACAGCGAACACGTAAACAAAAATGATAAAGGAACTCATCTAAACTTACATCGGCTTGTTTCTTTAGGAAATCAACTCTGTTTTGGAGATCTTCACGTATCTTCTTCAGTTTCGCATCATCCACCTTGCTGTGCTTCTGGAAGAAAAACGATGTTAAAATAAAATTTGAATAACACTGCCAGACTCGTAACATTCAAAAATACAGCAAACCAGATTCAGTATCTCTGTAGCACCTGATCGAAATCACACAGATTCTTGACAGCCTTTGCAATTTCTTCCTGATTCTTTTCATCCCAGGTTTTCCTTCTTTCTTTCTGTGTGATAAAAAAAGACATATAGAAGTCTTAGATAAGTAACGTAAACTTTTAGTGTGAGCTTTTGAGATTTAAATATTTAATAACTAAGACAAAGAAAAAAGAACACAATTCGAATGGCTACCTTGACACGAGAAGTTAAGGTATCAGTAAAAAGCTCGTAAACCAACTTGCAACCTACACGCCACTCTCCAGTGGGATTCTTCCATGAAGAATTGACAACCAACGGTGCCCCTGTAACAAATTTGTTTAAAACAACAAAAGAAATGATCAAACGTGTGTCATCAATAAGTCAACATGAACAAGAAAACTATCATGCAGAAAGCCTAAATATCTCTTTCTAGATGAAATCACCAACCTGATGCTCCACGAATAAGACCATCTTCATTGGCTTTCACCACTGTGGATGTATCTATATCCCCACTTCCAGTGCTGAACAATAAAACAAGGATACAATCAGGTCACAGAGTCTCCACCAGATGCATAACTCAAGAAAATCACGAACATACCAGTCAATAACGTCCAAAACCTTTGGTTTTCCATCAGATGTAAGATGCAAGCCAGCAGCAGAAGGATCAAAACCAGAATCTACAAGAAGATAAACAATCTCATTAACACTCAAATTAGAAGCAAAATCACAAAGACAAACCAAACAATCTCCCTAGTAATATCTGATCCAACTACAAACAATCTATCTAAGCATAAGTGATTAAGCCTCACGCAAAATCTTCTCCATAAACATAACAGACGATTCAAATATTCAAGCAAAGACGAACGAGAAGAAAGTACCGAAGATAGCGATGACGACGCCACGACCGTCGTACTCAGGATGAGCTTCGACGAAGCGATCAGCAGCGATTTCTTTCTTAGGCATTAGAGAAGCAAGGAAGGTTGATTCGTTTAGCTTGAAATTAGCTACAGAAGCGTTATCAGCAACTCCGCCACAACCGACGCGAGAAGTTTCGGAAGGCATCGCCGGGAAGAAACCACTCCGTCGTCTTATTTGAATTCCACGAGAGCGAGAGCGAGAGCAACGTCTTCTCTTGAGGGAATTGAGACTTGGATGAAAAATAAATGGAGGAGAGAGTGACGTGGACGAAGAAGAAGCCCAATAAGAACACGACGGGCCTGCGAACAACGCGCCGTGAATCTGCAGACTCAGATCCATCTTCGGGATGTGTACTGGTGTTAACTAAGTGTTAGGGGTAGTTTGGTAAATTGAGCTGAGTCAAGCTTGTGACTCTACGTTAATGGCTCTCGCTGGGTGGATATAACTTTGCTTGCTCGAATAAAGATAACGAAATTATAAAATTTCAAACAATTATAGATTGTTTTCTCTTCGTTATTGTTGTCAGCTTCATTGAGAATGATCGAAAACCATCCAACTTTATTTTGTTGCTCCTTGAAAATGAGACTTTTTTTTTTTGTGAAATTTGAAAACGAAACTGAGTAGTAGTGTTACTAGTTAGATTTGTGGTCTACTTTAAGGTGTTTGAGCAAATCGAATACTATTTTCATTTGATATTTTACCATATATATTAACTTCTGAGTTCTGAGTCTATGGAAAACTTTGCATTCTAGTCAAATCTGATTTATACCGTTTTGAATCTCCTGCCCTTTCCTACATGTTTGTTGTAGACTTGTAATTGTTTTGCTATGTTCTTAGATAATTAGACAAATTAACAATTCAGCTTTTTCCTTGGAAAGTTAGAAAGTCTCAAAGTCTAGTTGTATACCATGTGGTCTGCATGTGTTGGTTACGTGACATGTAGATATCTGAATATTAATAATACATTGGAGATCTTGGTTAGTAGCATTTGCAGTATTTATTGTCTTCCAATCTTGTGTCAACAAAATAAAAAAAGACATGCATGTTGAGACATTGAACTATTGTTACAACCATCCTGATAGTTTCATGTTTCTTGAATCGCTTAGAAAATAGGAGTATTGGTTTCAGGGCCGACCTGTAACATGTCTAGTGAAACATTCGTTTTAGATCCCCAAAATTTTTTGAAAGAAATTACATTAATATATGCCTCTAAAAACTTTGTTAGATCCCCAAAATCTTTTTTTTATATAGGAATTGCCATGTGTACTAAAATTTCAGGGTCGATCCTGATTAGTTTTAAAGAGGTTCGGGATTTTGAATATTGCACAATGATCCACTTCTGTTATACAAATACACATGGCCGATGGGAGACTGTTATTTATGTTTGGGCTCTCTTTTTATGTAGACGGCTAGATAAGGTAATGGTTTCGAGCTCCAAATCAGCACTGGTTAGCGAATACTTTTACTTGGCCTTCCACCTGAGTTGAAGACCACTTGAAAAAAATATCTTTATAGCAATATCATTTTTAAAGTATTATTTAGATTTGGCTTGTATTATAACAAAGAAACTGAAGAAAATAAAATCCACAAAAAGTCGTATAAGCTTCACCTTTTTTTTTTTGAACACCTATATCACGTTTTCATTTTCATTACATATCCAAACAAGTAACAGCTATGATACTTGATAAGGATTAAGTACATGTGGTTCTAAAACAAAAAAAAGCACAGTCATGAATCCATTTATAAGAAAATAACATGTTACACGAAAATTCACATTTCACGTAACAATCTAATGAAGTAGCAAACCGCCAATAAAAACATTTAAATTACATCATTATGGTCATCCTACCAAATTACTTGTAACAAAAGAAAAAATAGAACAATCGTTGTAATTATAAGCTTAGACTTAGTACTATTTTCCCCTTTATTTATTACCTTTTTTGTTAGGATATGTACATCCAAAATCAAGTACAAATCTTGATAATGATCATGTACATGCGGTTGTGACTTGTGACAACGATGACGAATCCATTTTTAACACTAATCATTCAATTCAACGCATCACCAAAGACTTCCAGAAAGTAAGACAGTTTACACGTTTTTAGTATGGCGTAGAGTTGACATCAAGCCTTACGATGTTAACGCTTCATTCCTTTTTTTAACATTATAAATATTCTCTAAAAACAAAACAAAATTGTAGTATAATGGATTATATATGGTTAAGGTCCATTGTTTTTTGTCAACTTTATAGTTCATTGAATTCAAGATTTCCAAACGTTTACTTTTCTTTGTTTCACACTATAGCAGCCACTACAAAAAAATAGATAGATTAGATCACTTAAATTGTATCAGAAAATTAAGTGATTCCATTTTAAATTACTTATTTGTAAGTGATACCAATATATTTAATTTAGCACAGAAAAAAAGGGAAAATAAATTAGTATTCTAGAAGTAAAATTTATTGAAAATGCACCGTTTAGATAAGTTTTGAACTAAAGTCTAATTGGTCATTGTTAATTTAGAAGAATTTGTTATCCAAAAAAAGAAAAAAAACCGCAAAATAAGGCTGTAAATAACTAGTTTAATTAGTTTAAAACTTGAGTTTATTGTATTTAGGTAACAACATCCAGCTATACACCATGAAGCATAGTCAAAGACGACCAATAACTCATCTCACAATATGGATATATAGCTGTACAAGGAAAACCCTTCAAAACCCTATCTTCGACTTGTTTTTTTTTGGAACCATGCAAGTATGCACGTCCACATCTAATTATGCGCAGAATCATTTTGTAACCACTAATATTCCTTTGTCTCGTTATCTAAGATCTTTTAGAAATATAATATGTTACATGAAATTTTTTGTATGTTTAATTTATTTAACAATTTTTGTGAAAAGAGTTTTTATAATTCCTTACATTTTGCGTTTTGGTCAAAACATATTGTGAAACTGAGACGAGAAGAGGAAGTGATTAACTCCACGTTTAGAAAAAATGCAATAATTTGTGAGAACGCGTAGTTCAAATATATGGATGTCACTATTCCCATGATCACAACTTTGAAAATGCCTTCATTTTTGACTCTCAGACGTCTTTGTTTTAGCGACTCATCAAGGTAATAATATTATATTTCTAATGACGTCCACTAAGATATTCTTGATATTCAATTCAAACAAACACGCACGAAACTGAGATCTTTATATATAGTCTTCTTCAGCTTTCTTCATTGCAACTCATCTCAAAGAAACTTTCTAAACCAGACAAAGATCAAGAAACACTAGCCAACTTATTCTTTATCTGAAAACTTCTTACACAAGTAACAAACAAACAAACATGAGAGACCTAGCTTTGTGTCTGTTTCTTTTCTTTTTAGCAAAACATGTCAGTTCTGTTCCGACAAAAGCACAGTTTCAAAGCTGCTTGTCAACAATCTCCAAAACACCTACAAATCTCACTGACCACACAGATTCCACACTCTACAGCCCCTCTTTGGCGCTTTCATCTCCAAGCTCAAGCTTCCTCAACTTAAACTTCACAAGCCTGAAGCCGATCCTCACCCTCAAACCAAAAACAGAATCAGAAATCAAAAGTGCCATTCTATGCAGCAAGAAACTTGGAGTGCAAGTAAGAACCCTAAGTGGTGGTCACGACTACGAAGGCCTCTCTTACCTCTCACTATCACCATTCATAATCATCAACCTAGTCAACCTCCGCTCCATCAACATCAACCTCACGGAAGAAACAGCATGGATCCAATCCGGGGCCACACTCGGCGAACTCTACTACAAAATCGCCAAAACAAGCAACGTCCACGCCTTCGCCGCAGGGATATGTCCAAGCGTTGGAGTTGGTGGACACATCAGCGGCGGTGGACTAGGCACATTAATGAGAAAACACGGTTTAGCGTCTGACAACGTTGTGGACGCGCGTTTGATGGACGTAAACGGGAGAATCCTCAACAGGAGAACGATGGGAGAAGATGTGTTTTGGGCGTTAAGAGGAGGTGGAGCAGCGAGTTTCGGTGTTGTGTTATCATGGAAAGTTAAACTCGCTAGGGTTCCTGAGAAGGTAACTTGTTTCATAAGTCAACATCCAATGGGAGCAAGCATGAACAAGCTAGTTCATAGGTGGCAGTACATAGGACCAGAGCTAGACAAAGATCTCTTCATCAGAGCCATTATCGATAACAATGTGGAAGGAGGTCAAAGAGGAGTTAAAACTACTTTTCAAGCTTTGTTTCTTGGTGGAATCGATAGATTGATTCCTCTAATGAACCAACAGTTTCCTGAACTCGGACTACGAGCTCAAGACTGTTCTGAAATGAGCTGGATCGAGTCGACAATGTTCTTTAACTGGAAGTCAGGACAGCCTTTAGAGGTCATGCTCAACAGAGACCTAAGATACGAGGATCTTTACTACAAAGCAAAGTCAGACTTCGTTCAAAAGCCAGTTCCTGAACACGTTTTCGAAGAAGTAACCAAAAGGTTTCTCGAGAAAGAAACTCCACTGATGATCCTTGAGCCATGGGGTGGGAAGATGAGCGAGATATCAGAAACTGAGTCTCCATTTCCACACAGGAGAGGGAACCTTTACAACGTACAGTATATGGTGAAGTGGAGAGTCAATGAAGTTGAGGAGATGAACAAGCATGTTACGTGGATGAGAATGCTTTACGATTACATGACACCGTATGTATCGTCGTCGCCAAGAGGAGCTTATTTGAATTACAGAGATCTTGATTTGGGAAACAACACAAGGACCAACACTAGCTTTGAAGATGCAAGGGAATGGGGTGAGAAGTATTACAGAGGTAACTTCAAGAGGTTGGGTTTAGCTAAAGGGAAGATTGATCCAACAAACTTCTTCAGGAATGAACAAAGTATTCCTCCTCTGTTTTGATTTCTCAAAGACAAAACAAATATTGTTTAAATGTATTTTTTTTTCTAGTATATATGTACCAAAATAAACAGTTGATTCAAAGGTTGTATTGACAATTAAACTCGCTTATATAGTTGTGAATGTAATCAATATTCATGGACAACGGTTTCACCGTCCACAAAATATAATCTTTGGCTTCAGAAAAGAACACATCTTCTCGGTGAGATATGTCCGAATCAACTGAACCCATTTCTAAGAGGCTCTACATATCGTTTAGAGGTGGATAGAAAAAACAAACCCAAACCCAAACAATCGAGTTGAAGTTTTCTTAATCCAATCAGTTTTGATTTGGTTTGGATTAATGATATTAAGATACATACTATTGTGATATTTATCTTTCTAAAATCTTTGTTTTTAAAAAAAAAACTTGGATAATTATGATATTACAAAAGAAATATTAGGCTCTATAGAATCCAGTCTGGACTGTACACTTTATGTCATGCTGCAATTTTCTTGTAAGTTTTTATTCTTTTAATTTTCATAATTTTGTTTTTTCTGGAACTCAAACCCACATTTCATGGTGTAGAAGTATTAATGAACCATTAGTTAAACTATGGGGAACAGGGGCTTATTATGCTGAGATGAGGAAGAGATGATCATCAATGAAGATGATGAACCTTTCTGCATTTGTGAATTATGCTGTGATACTTTTGATATATGTGCCGAATTCATCACTCATCTCAAGAGTGAAGAACACAGAAACAAGGTACGCCTAGCAGCATCCTCCTCCTCAGCATTTTTAGTATCCTTATTACATTTTGTAAAATTGTCACCTAACCTGTGTCTGTGTGTGTTTGTGTGCAGTTGTTTGAGATAGTGCCCAAAGACTATTGTGAGCTTAGACATTTTTGCAAAGTTTGCAATTATCTCGGCTACGACGAATATAACATGCTCCTCCATAACCAAAGCGATGAACATAATCGGAAGGTAAGAGCTTATATTATATTGTAACCAACTCTGTATCTATAAAATTTGATCCCATTTGGTTTGTTTTCAGCAGGAAGAGAGATCAACTAGCGGATCTCTTTAACGGGAGAAACAAGAAGCAGCTATCTTTTGAACTTGGAAAACATGAAGAGAAGTTTCTAATGATGAAGAAGAAGGAGAAGCTGTAGTGCCTGTGGGGTCTTTGTGTGTTTACTAAATAACACTTATTTATTACAGTTTGTTTTACCACTAAAATCTTGGTTTGTTTTGGTTATACTTTTATCGATTAAAATGAAAATCTTAATCCTGTTGCTTTATGCAAAACCACACTCCCTCTTTGAAAGGTGTGATTTATGATTGTGTTCTTGGCGAAAAACTATGTCAGTGTGAGAGAGAAGCCTGTACTTTATCTCTTTACATGTTTTGAGTGTTATTTGGATATTTCTTTTCTTAGAATGAATCCCTTCTCCGTATCATCGCCAAGAGTAGCTTATTTGAATCACAGAGATCTTGATTTGGGAAACGACACGAGGACCAACACTAGCTTTGAAGATGCAAGGGAATGGGGTGAGAAGTATTACAGAGGTAACTTCAAGAAGTTGGGTTTGGTTAAAGGGAATATCGATCCAACGAGGAAACAAAGATGCAATGTTGTGTATTTTTTCTCTAGTAGATATGTACCCAATAACAAACAAATTGAATAGAAAATAAACTGGTTTGATTTCCAATTTCTATGACCACACCATAAAACTGGTTCAGACACCACTAGATATGTTCAAAATATGGTGATAGATCGTATACAACATCAGTTAAACAGTCATTGAATCTCATGATGAATCAGAAGAAGGGAGTTTATATGACACACTGAAGATGGCAAAACGAGATATCCGGTTTAGCGCTTCTTCTCAGCAGCCTTAGTACCGGGAAGTGTTCCAAAGACTCTGTCCCAGAGAGATGAAGTGATTCCGTATCCTTTGTTCTGGATTCTGAAGTGATGATTCAAGTGGTATTTCTGTAAAGCATATACCAAAAATCAAATCAGAAATTCAAATGAACAAGTTTGATGGGACGAAAAGAGATTAGTTTATATATATGGGGATTGCTTACCTTGAGATGCTTAAAGGTTGGTTCCTTAGGTTGACCATGGTGTAGATAGTAATGAGTGATATCATACATCACATAGCCAAACAAAATGCCTCCAAGCATTGCAGGAGCTGTAGCAGGAGTAGCTAAGAGGTGGAGAAGCTTCCATAGCTAAAAGACAAGGAAAGATGAAGAACATCGTTATAACTTCACATTTTGAAACATCAAACGAATGAAAAAAAGACTCCAGTTACTTACTGGAACCAAGAGAATGGCTGTTGCGGTAGGAGGGAAAACAAGACGAAGGCCGTCTTGTGGGTGCTTGTGATGGCATCCATGAAGAAGATAGTGTGCAGTGTTTGCCCTAAAGAAACACAGAATCAGCTTCGTGAAGAAACATGTTTATGTTAATGTTGTATGATCACTGATATTGAACTAACCAGTAGCTCTTGGTTTCTATGTGGAAGAGGAAACGATGAAGTGTGTACTCGAGCAGTGTCCACGTGAGTACGCCAAAGGCAACTATCAAACCGATCTGGGGAAACGTGAGTCCCCTACTCGCGGAGATTGATAGAACGTAGCAGACAACTGGAAGCCAGATTGTTGGGATTGCCCACCAAACCGTGCGAGTCAAGAACTGCTCAAGTTTCACAAAGAAGGTTATGAATAACTAAAACAAAGAGGATGATGATATACATTTCAAGAAGATGAATCTCAAGAAAAGAAAGAGTTGATATACCTCCCAGAAATCACTTTGGAAAAAACGAGGACCCTCTACACATACAATAGGTTGATGAATCCATTCCTGATATTCTTCTCCAAGATGACCAACCTGATGACAAACCAAAAAAAAAAAGTTTATATTCACCATTTAATAGCCAAGATTCTACCAGACAGCTTTGAAAGGTGAACAAGAATGTCCCCTCTTGTTACTTTGTCTTGTCGATCTAATATGATAAATACAGATAAAGGAAAAAGAGACTACGTCACCTGAAAGACAAGTGGCTTATCCAAATCAACTGTGAAGCGTTCTGCCACCATCTTTGCCACTCTCCTGAGACTGCTGCCTAAAGAAGAAAAAAGAGGTAAATACATTATCTTTCTGATGCAGGAAGAACCGATGCATATGCTCTTATTAATGAAAAGCAAAAAAAAACTTAAAATTGCATACATGATACATATGTACACTTGAGAGAAAAAAAACATGTCATCAGAGGTAAACCAAAACTCAAGATTACTTTATTTAATTGGTAAGTCAAGTCACAGAAGAATTGGGAAACAAGTTAATCTTTTACTGTGATGACAAAAAAACTGAAACTGCACTCATTCAAAATACAAAACATTTGACGGAAACATTACGCAAAACATTTCATCTGACACTGACACGAACATATGAGAGAAAGAAAGATACGAATCTAAAGCTCGATTTTGCAGATGGGAACACAAAACAAAGAATCTCATCTCTTGAGTCAATAAATAATCAAACAAAAGGTTATGTAATCGCAAGATCTTCTCTCATCAACATACATAAAGACAGAGTCAATCGGTGAAAAACAACCTTGACAATGTGTTAAAAGAACGAAACTTTCAGAATGAGAAATCAAATCACACACCAGATTTCCTCGGAAACCACGAGGAAAAAGAAAAACCAAGAAACGCGTCAAAGGAGATGAAAAAAAGAAGCCAACATTCTTCGGAATTTACGAGTAAAAAGTCCCGATTTTTGCGGGAGAAAATGAAACGATCTGAATCGAGAAGGAGAAAACGATGAGAATGAGAACAAGATCTTTACCTTAGAGGAAGAACGAACAAGCGCTTCTCTCTCTCTAGCTCTCTGGGCGTAAGAGAATCGCTTACTCTCTCTCTCCAATGAGGGGGAAGGAACAGAAACACTCTGTCACACAACGATGGGTTTATTATGCTTCTCCTCTTGATAATGTTCGGCCCACGTTTGCCTCTCTTTTTTTTTCTAGCTTCTTTTTTTTTTTGTTTACTTTTGTTTATGCCATTTTTATCTTTTGTATTTATGGTTCTAACATTTAAAAAAAACGCTAAAACAGATCATTCTTGGCTGGCAAAAAGAAAAAAAGTAATTAAGGAAAAGCTTAAAAATAATCATATTAGGGAAGATGTTACATAAAATAGTATATGATATTCTGTAACATTTTAAAAAAAATAGATGTTTATTGTATATAAATATAAAACGTTCTTCTTAAATCCACATTTTATGAAAATACCATATATAGGGGAAGAATATCTTTTGTCTGATTTTGTTAACCCCCCTTAATTAGATTTCCTAATATTAGAATTCCCATAATAGTAAAATACAACACATGCCCATTGGTTTGCAAGGCAGTACGTTGTTTGTCTGGGTATTTAATCTTTCTAATTTACAAATCCTGCTTGTATAATATGAATATTGTACCTGCAGTGAGTAATATCTAAATCTAGTCTTTTCAAAACAACAGACGACCTTTATGGACTTTTTTTTATAAAACATAATGCTCATTTCATAGAAAGCTCATTTTATTCTGAAGAAGTGCATGTGTAGCTAAGCCAAATGAAATTCGTCAAGTTGTTTCACTTCTGAGTTCAGATGAATTTCAAAGCGCCGCATGTTAAAAGTTTTTTTTCTCTTTTATCAGCACAATGAATACGTCGAAACTATTAGTGAATTGTGATGAGAGAACAGGTTAAACCTCCGATAAAATACTCATATTATTACAACTCTTCACCACTAAAATGCATTCTCTCATCAGCGTAATATAACCTATAATCCATCATATGCTTCATGTGCATGTAGACGTAGTGCAGTTAGTTGCATTGTTGATTCTTAATTTATCCAGGCGACTTATGTGTGACTAATTTTAGTTAATCAATCATTTACATGTAGTATTAAGTTCTTAAGTTAGAGTTTTGGTTATTCCTTGTACAACTTAACTTTCGTGTTATACAACACGAAACATGAATAATATACAGTCCTGAACACATTAAACGATGATGATGACAAACGATCTTAAGAAAGCATAAATACGAAGGGATCATCATAAAATAATTAAGAATATACTATGTAGCAAAGGTAAAGATTCGCTAAACCAGTATAACTAATGAAAAGAGTAAAGGGTCACTGATTAAACTATACAATAAAAGGCTCCACGACTCATTACCAACATAGTTGTGGTGGGTATGATGTGTTGTTTTAAAAAAAAAAAATTAACAATAAAGATATACGCATACACATGGGATCGTCTTCTCTAGACCCTCTACATATGTTGGGAACTACTCAACTAGCAAGTCTACGTCTATACATAAATTAATGAATAGAAATGACCACACATCTTAATGCTAGCCATGATATAGCAACGAGGCTTTCAGCTATATAAAACTATAGTATACATAATGCACTCTGAATTAGGACGCCATTTCAATCAATGCAATTCGTTCTTATAGCATTCTATATATTTAATAGTAAATTTTTGTATCTATAGAATGTTGTCACATTCTTGTTTATCTCGCAATATATTTGTAAAATTTTGCGAACTACTCGACTAGTAAGCCTACGTCTATACATAAATTAATGTATACACATGGCCACACATTTTAATGCTAGACATGATATAGGGATATGAGGCTTTCACCTATATAAAACTATATTGCACTTTAAACTAGGTTGACATTTCAATCAATGCAATTCCTTCGTATACCAATATACCATGATGTATTTTGATTTTCACAGATACGATTCCATATTGAATAAGGAATTAACATATAAAATCTCTAAATGTGTTGTTTCACAACTAAGTCATCCCTCTTCTTTCTCGTTTTACTTTAACTTCTTAGAATATAGTATTTGGAATCCGTATTACATGGAAAAATACGTGGAGACTGAATAAAGAACTGGAAAGATCGTTCATGAACAATTAAACATACAAGAGTATAAAATCTTAAAATCAACACACTTTTATCTTAAAAATCTAGATCGGTTCTCTTTCACTTTGGTACATGTCCCTTTTAATTCATGTATCTATAGCTGCATGTTGTAACATTCTTGTTAATCGCCTAACATGTTTGTCTTTAACAAAGTAGTTGGACTGTCCTGAAGTTTTAACATGTTTTTGCAATAGACAGATAAGCTTGTATAGTAAACAAAATGTGATACCTTATCTGCAAATTAATTTAAAAGATTAACATCAGTGTTTCTACAGCCCCTTTTATAGAGTTTCTTCTTTTCTTTCTAGAATGATTGGATCCAATATCAGAAAAAGTTGATTTTAGCAACTGTGAAAGACCAAAGAAAAGCTAAAGCCGCACGATTAACTCGTGAAGGAGACACATCCGATACATCACGCCATTAACTAACCAAAGATCATCTTTGGATATATCGACTTAAGTAAATTGGTCATGTCATCACGTGGCTCCGTAACAAAATCGCAAGTTGGTGCTCTCTCTGTTTATTTTGGCCGACACACACCTAAATGCTCTACCTTTCATAATTAACAACGACGATTTTTAATAAATTAATCTTTTTTTTCTTCATAGTTAACATTTAACAACAACATTTGACTCCTTGACCATCATATAATAACATATATCCTCTGTTAATAACATTTTTTTTTTGAAAAATTTACAGTTTCATAAGCAAAACAATTGAAGCTTCGAACTGCCAACCACCCAAACCTCAACAACACTCCCGTCAACACCTTCACCGTCGTTAACTAACGGTGAGATCCGTAGGTCCCACCACTTGCCACGCAAAACAACAAAAAGCAAAAACGATTTCACCTTTTTTCCATCAGAATTCAGACAGACTTGTCAGAGACTAGTTTGAGATTTGGAGCAGAGGCAGAGCAGACCAATCTCAGAAACAGACACGAAGAGACTGTCAGAACAATAGCTACGACTTTCCCGCCTACCAATCCACCAAGCGCAATCACTATCATCACCATCGCTTTCGTCAGATCCCCTTTCGATTCTTCTCTTTCTTCTCCACAGCTCTCCAGCAACGGCGGATTCGAACCAATCTCATATCTCTCAGATACTTCGCTTTCCGTTACATCTTCCGAATACAAGCTGGAACCTTCCGTCGTGGACTCTCCTTCCCCTTCTTCGAATATCTCAATCTCTACACCTCCTTCCGCATCTTCTTTTTCTTTCATCTTCTTCTTCTTCTTGTAACTCCTCAGCTTCTTTGGTACAATCTTTTTAACGATCTTTGACTTAAGCTTCGCGCTTTTGCTCTTCTCCTTTCTGAACGTCACGTCTCTTATCGTCAGCACTTCTCTCTCCTCTTGCTTCTCTGCTGGTGGTTCAGGAGCTTGAGTCTCCTCGACGCACTCTCTCGGTTCTTGGAAGGTTTCAATGATTTCGAAGGAGACATTGTTTGTTATTGTTCTCTCTTGCGTCGATGATGATTCTTCTAGCTTCTCTTTAGGCTTCTTGTTTCCTATAAGCTTTCTGATATATGAATCGAGCCGAACCTGCGCGTTAGGGCAGAGATTAAGGAGCGTGAGGACACGTGGCAAGGCGAATTCGAGGAAGAGGAGTGCGAAGGCGGAGATAGTGATCCCCAGGGCGAGTTTTTTCGTGCTTAAAGCGAGCACAGCCACCACGAAAACCTTAATCGCAACCACCATCAAAACGCAACATCCTCCTCCTCCTCCGCCGTGAATATCACTGTCTCCGTTTCCGTCGTTGTCGTTTCTGTTCTGAGATGTTGAGCCACCGTCACGGACGGCGGTTTCCTCGATCTTACTCGCGGGGAGATCCTCCGTAACCGAGGGAGGATCACGTTTCAGAGGGATAGGAGGAGGGAGAGATGAAAAAGCACGTTGTCGTGTCGGAAGAAAAGTAGTGGGAGGAGCGGTTTGTGTCGGGAACGGGGACGGGGACGGGGTCGGGGTCTTGTTGCGTTTGGAAGAAGATTTTTTGAGACGATCGCGGTTTTTAAAGAAGAGATGGATGAGGGAAGTAGGGAAACCGGTTTCGACGACGAGAGATCCGCCGTGTTTGGGAGATTGTTGGAGGTCCGTTACGAATTTGGAGATCCGACCCGATTTCGATTTCTTCCAAGGCAAAGGCATGATGGCTGAAAGAGGAGGATGAGGAGAAATGAATAGTTTTAATTAATGAGGTCTTTCGAAGAAGAACCCAGAGAAAGAGGGTTTGTGGAAGAGATAGGTAAAAGCCATTAATAAGAAGACATGGAGAAAGAAAAGGAAGAGAAGAGAAAAAAAGGCTTTTAATTTGCGCAGAAAGTGAATGCGATTGAAAGAGAGAGAGAGAGAATGCGAGCGAGCTATATGATGAAGAAACCGCTTATACAGACATGATAGGACGTCGACGCGTGCCTCAACAGATTATTTTCTTACAGTATTTTCTATATATTTTTAATTAATAAAAGAGTTCGCTTTTTTATTCCTTTCTCTTTTTTTTTCCACACTAGTGGTTAGTCCGCGCTACGCGCGGATTGTTAGTCTTTTCGTGACTTTTTTGTAAAAAAATATTTATAAGAGTGAACATTTATACATTATAAGAATATTTGTTAAAATGTTTATTTGTGGGAAAGTTCTTGTTCTTCATTTTTTTCAGTTGCAGCTAACTGATGTGTTGTGGAGAAGAGAGATTATCTAATGTGTTATTGCATTTGTAGTTGAGCTATATTGGTAATTTATTTGTAGTTGATTTCTATTTTTTTTAAACTATAGCTTTCTTTTTCTTCATGTCTCATTAACTCTTTTTTTTTGTTTTTAAAATTCTTAATTTTGATTTAGTATGTTCGATTTTGAAATTTTTTTGCTCAAAATATAGAATCTATTACATTAAAATATTGGAATGTTACGAATAAGTTTTCTTTTTAAAACTTTAACACCCTGAATGTTAAAAGAAAAGTATTAGAAACGCCATATATAAATTCCAACCTCAATTTATATGGTAACATAATTTTGTCTCTAGATACTTAATTTGATTTAATATGTTAGCTTTTTAAATTTGTTTTGCGGAAAACATAGAACATTGTTAAAGGGTAGAAAAATAAATTCCTTCAAAAAGAATTTTAATGAACTATTTTTTTTGAGCTTTTAGTAAAAAAAAAGACTTTTTATTTAATTTCTAAAAGTAAAGCATGTTTGACATTTGACTGTAGAAATGAATGTTATAATCTAGATAATTGAATGTGAGACATATTTTCAAATTCAATTTATATTTTATATTATAGTGTGATTAAATATGGTCTTATCACCACTTATCACCATACACATAACCACTGTTCTTTTGGCAATATAGGATGAAATATAGTCAACACAAAACATAGAATTCGTATTTAGCATCAGTATACTTAAAATATCACATAGTTAGTCTACAGCACTCTCTCTTTCTCTTTCACCTTAACTACTCAACTGTAATGTGCAAAGCCAACAAACCATAGAAACCAACATGAGAATATCACAATGACTAATGACCTCAAAAGCTCCGTTTTGTTTTCACCATGAAAATTCTGATTGTTGGTTTATGTGGTTGTATCTGCATAGGTTACGTGAAATTGTTTTTGGGTGCTGTGAAGAACAATTCGGAGTTGAGAGAACTGCATTCAGAAAAATCCGGCAAGTAAGTCTATTTTTGTGATTGTGGGCATATACTTCTCTACAGTTTGCACTGGTAACCGAATCAAGGTCAGAAATTTGATGGAAAGGAATGGAGAAGAAGCTGAAGATGAAAGCTTAGTTATGCTCTATGTGCTTCTAGACTACATTAATGGTATGTGATCGGGATTGTGAGCATTAAAGGATAGTTTTGTTCACAAAAAACCACTTGGAAAAACTCCATGTCTTTTATTTGGATTTTGGAGGAAGAATGGATATATGCACATCAAGTCGTCGTACCACTTTTACGAAACCTTTAATATTGTTGGCAATAATTACTTGATCTTGATGATCATTCTTTGTTTAAAAAATTTTAGTCTTTGTCAAAGAGGGCATAGATTCTCCAGCTTGTGTTGCAGACAATGTTATGAGCAGAAATAAAAAATAGGCCTTGATGAATCTTTGAACGATCTGATCGAAGCTCTATGGGAAAAAAGGAACATTGTAAAGCATAATGTTCAATATTTGTTGTAAGAACGAAGTGGTTATTAGTAATTTTTTTTAAAGGCTTGCTAAGTAAAATTTAACTTGAACATTTGGTGCAAGAAATATATATCATGAATTTCAGTTTTTCATTGAGGTAATTATAAAAACTTACAAAATTCCTAATTATGATTGTGGAAAAAGAGAGCTTCGGAGTAACCGATATTATGCATTACCTTATCTAGCAAAAGGAGATACTCTCTATTGTAACCACATGGTCCATTAGCCGTCGCAATTTTTCTTTACGAAATTAAAAAGAGAAGTTAGTGTGAGGACAAGAATCTAGCATACAAAATTGAAGGAACCGAATAAGTTTATCTGGAGAGGTATCAGTAATAATTAACAACAGTACGCAAAAAACACCATTCTAAATGTCATGTGTAAGAGAACAGTTTACACCAGCATCCCAGTTATAGCTGGATTCAGGTGATTATCTTTATGTGTAATTTAATGTGATAAACTTGAGGTCTATTACAGGAGTCTAAGTTAAGAGTTTATAAAAGTATACACATGCCTTCAGATCATAATACTCACAATCATAAACCAAATGATCAAGGCAAATGTATGACCATGATACATCAATGATCGAACGAATTAAAACCAGAAACGTCATCATTCTCCCACCATCCAATCTTTATCTCAGATTATGCAATCAAAGACTTCACCTCTATATATGGACACACACAAAAAAAAAAGAAGCTGTTATAGTTTCCTCATAACATTTACTAATGAAACCAAATTTCTTTGTATACGATTTTTGCCTCTTTCATAGACTCATCAGCTCTGTGATGGCTTAACGATAACTATCAACCTATTTCAGTCTTTTCCTATTAGAATCCTAATACATACCAAGATACAAAGCATCAAGCTTGAAGAAACCAGTATCAGATCAGATACATTATATCGAAACTGCAAAATATGAAAACATAAACCAACATCAGAACTAATAAATCTTGCGAGAAAGAGATAAAAATGAGTGTGGTTGCCATACGAGTTCAAGAAACAAAACGGAACATGAGAATTAGAACTCTAATTAAGAAACAAACTACGTCATGATTCTTTTCACCACCCAACCTCTGTAACCCATCTCGGCGAGATCCATCGGCGGCGGTTTGAGGCGAGAGGACAAGCTAGCGTGGGAGCTCTGAACCTCATGCGAGAGGTTCCTGATTGTGGCGAGCCTTGGTGTCACCGCCTCTGAACCTAAAAGGAACGGTGATTACGCAGCTCCAGGATTCCGGTGATCTTAGAGCTCATCAGCATCCATCTTTTCTGTAGTGGATGAGATTTTTAATCTACGGAGCCATAGACGATTCCATCTTGGTTCATCATCACCACCATATAAATATAGATACTCATTCACTGAATCTGCTAGGAATTGAAGAGGCATTGAATCAAATGAAATAACTGCGTACGTTTAATGGAAAGAAGCAGCGGTTACATTTTTGCTCGGATGTGTTTACGGCGGCGATAGGAACGATGGGGAATCACCATAACGAAGAAAGGAGGCACTGGAAACCTAAAATAAATGGGCCTTTACAACATCAAAATTGAAGTCCAAGTTCAGCATAACAAATCGACAGAAAATAGAGAAACATAAACCGAGACGGTGCAGGTATAATTGGTCGGTTCAAATTGATTGTGGGTGCTGACATGTCATTTTTTGCCCCCTCCTAAAAGCTGATGTGTACACCCTAAGAAGGGAGAAAAGCTAGCTTTATTGTATAAGACTAGTGGTATGTCCGCACTACGCGCGGATTGTTTCACATTTGTGTTATCAAAATTTTAAATTATCTTGTTGATTTGTTGTATAAGTTAGAATTATGGTTATGTGTTTTACTAATGTTGTTTATGGACACGTATTCAAATAGTGGGATGCGGCTGAGTGATGCAACTTCAATTATTTTTATATATGATATTAGGAATTTTATATGTTAGAGACTGATAAGACACATGCGTTTTTTCGTAAAAAGTGATAATTTATTTTTATTGAAGAGAAATAAATTTACCTTAAAGTATTATTTACATAGTACATAATTTTTGTTGTGTTTTGAATTATAATATTAAGATATAAATATTGAACAACATGTTTCAAATGAAATAGACGAACTTATTCATTTCCTTGTATAAATAGCAGTGTTTGCGTCTTTTGTTAATGATGTTTGGGTAAATGAAAATTCTACCTTTATTTGCTTGTAACGGTGGACTAACAATCGAGTCATTGAACTCGTACTCCATGCAATATTTTTTGTTTAAAGTGGTTCCAAAATTGAGTATCCACATTATGGTCTTACTATCAACCAATGTTATTAATGTATACTTCTCCAACATAGTTTTCTCGCATGCATAGCATGGTTATACGTAAAGATAAAATGTATCTAGATATATTTTTTTATAGATGATGGAGACAAACGTTGGTTTTGTGTTTTTTTTCAAAATATTCTTGAATGCTTTTGATATAGTAAGCTTCTAAATTTCCGGCTAATAAACAGTTGGTCATGAGATCATTATACTTTATTAAAGATGCAAGTGGATAGATGGTCAACAGTCTGAGTTTTAGTTTCTTGTAAATATGAGTGTCTTTAGCAGCTTCAGTTAGTGTTGGAGATAATTGCATGATAGTTGGAGATAATTGCATGACATGTCGTGTGATGGCAAAGTCGAATCTGCACAAATTATTATTAAACATTTGCATGGAGCCTCCACTTTTATGGGCCCCCATTTTGTTTTTTTTTCTGTTGGTTTAGGTATAGCTAGTTTTCAATTTGAAATCAATCATTGTTTTAGGTATCATAAGCTTTTTATAAGCTTTAAAATAATTGTACACAATAATCAGCAAAAAACCATTAAAAGTTTCACACAAAAGAGATAGCCATAGCTTAAAAACTTAAAGTGTTGCTTTGTTATTTGTTAACTCGATGAATTTTTCTTTACTGATTTGATGGAGATCTCTTTGTCGTAAACCGATGTGTTTAAGAAAATATATATTATAAATTTTATAATTTTTCTATTAGTTTAATTAAATAAGATAATACTTTAAGGAATTTGCTTTATTATTTTGGTGATTTTGTTAATATAATGGTTTAAAGAACAATCACAACCAGTATGATAAAAACTAAAATTTCCCGTCAATACACTGAACCAAACCAAATATAACTTTTCATACTTTTCAACATATGAGATTAACGTAACTGACGAAATATAGTTTGTGTTGTAATATACGATATCCAACTTCTTCACACATGTATATCAGTATATGTAGTAAGCGACAATTTACTATGAGTTATAGTACCACTAAAAACTGAAAAGGTAAAAAAGAAACTCAAATTTAATAGTTCGATTAGTTTTCTAAATGAAGCTATAAATGGAAATTTACTTCCAGTGAGATCA